ATCTGATTTTATAAATACTGTACAATTGAGGTTTTATTTAAAATGTCTACGATATAAGCATCACAGTTAAAATAATATATAAGCATCCCATTTGTTAGCATGTTTTGTTTGTTTGCTTGTTGTTTAACGTCCCTCCCGAGAATTTTTCACTCAAATATGGAGACGCCACCATTTGCAGCTGGAGAGCTGCAAGTTTTGACAGATGTTCGGCACTCAGGGCCGTTGAGTAGGAAGGATCTTTTTCGTGCAAGTACGTGTGACACGGAACCTGGGTTTATACGGTCTCATCTGAAGGACCAGTCTCTACGTCCCACATGCAGTTGATTCGAACCCGCGACGTAAGGATCTACTCCTTCTAGAGAAGACGCTCTTTCCACTGCGTCATGCAGGCTACAGCTAATGATGTATGATATATTAAAAATGATGTTTTATTTATATCATTCACATCTTTTATTCTAGCAACTTACTTTTTTGTGATCGCTTTTAATTGAGCAACATTGATCATACACGATATCAAGACTATTGTAATTATATCAACAGAACACGTTAAACATGTAATCTCTAACATTCAGAAACGAAAATAGGAATGAGTTTTATACTGTGATTTTTTTTATTTGTCAACATACAATCAACTGTACACAGCTTAAATGGACAAATTTATGAAGAGATCATTATCATTGAAACCAAAGACACAATTTGGAAAATATCTACATGGGATCTAAGCTACTGGAACCCTGCCAAAATGATCTTGTATTTGACCCAGTCATTTTATGTCTAGATAATACACCTATATCTGTTTGTTCATTTCCATAGTCCACCAAAGAGTTAGGTAAAATTTTAAATAAAAAAATATTGAAGCTTCATATTTAAAATACGATTCAAACACTGCGGGACGTATATAAGCTGTTAATTTGATTAATATGTGTGAGCCTTTTTTATGGACACCGCTTAAGAAGCTATAAAATTCAATTTGATAAGGGTCTTTTTTTATTTCAGTTAGAATTAGTCCGAATATAAAAATAAACGCTACATTAAAAAACAATATTTTTTTTACAGAAACAGCTTATACGTGTATAATCTTTCAATTTGTTTAACTTACAGTTAGTTAACTTTTACCTTAGATGGGTCCTTTTATTCATAAAGTTACAATAAAGTTCGATTGAACTATAATATTGCAAATCAATTTTATTGGCTTACATTGATAACCTCGGATGGTCTCAGTTTTTCCGGAAAATTATTTTGCATGAACTGGCAAAGACGATCAACCACCGCTCTACAACTAGAATTGTAGGCAGCGTCTGGTTCTACTTCTCTGAAGATCACTCGGGATCATGGTGTTAAATGATGAGCTTGTTGGTCGATGCTTCAGATTACTATGCACTGCATGTGTGGAATAATCAAGAAACAAACCGGTATTTGAAGGCGCAGGTTCTGCGAAACCGTGGTGCTTCATACTGGTATGTTTATCCAGGTCAGATTTTTCCAGAAAACGACATTGTGGCTTGCATATTTTACAGGTAAAAGGAAACATTTTAGGATTTTGCATCCGGTATTCAAATTTCAAAAAATCCCTACTTCTCTCCATGGTTTATCAGTTGGTTTTCACGTTCTAAAGGCTAAAATTTGATGGAGAAACATGTGAAATGAGATTTGGTCTCTTTTTAATGATAAATATAAGGTACATATCATTTTCTGTTTAGGCTAAAAAAAGTCATATTTGATACTTAATTTTAGTTCTGTTCCTAGTGGACTTTTACGAGAAGCGCTGACTTCTACTGTTGACGGTTTACTTGGACATTTAAACTTGTATCATGTACGGAAGTACAGAATTGATAATGCATAAGAAAAACTTTCTAGTGGTCATAGGTATGGTTTTAGGGGCACTAACATGTGAAGAACGGGAGTTGAGGGTAGGGGGGTTGTCGTTTTCTTCAAGGACAGCTTATATGTGCATTGAAATAACCCCTTATTTTCGTTTAATTAAATGTTGAGCTAAATATTTATATCATAAAAGAGCTACCGTACATAACTCTAGTGTAAAAGTAAGCGTCAACTGTAAAAGTCAGCGCTCCTCGTAAAAGTCCACTATTATATATTCCTAAAAATAATTAAATAAATTCTCATTAAATAATAAATATAAATATTTTGTAATGCATTGCTGTGCACATGTAGTCGTTTCACCTCGAAGTTTATTTCCCCCTGTTAAATTTCTCCAAAATTCTTCAACCCAATTTAAACCAAACAATATACCGTTTAATTTTTCAAAGGATATACTTGTATACTTTTGGTAAATCCAAGCAATGATGTGTTTTTATTTATAACGTTAAAACTATAATTAGAATATTTACATAACGCAAACTATTTAAATGACTTAAAATTTTACCACCAGTAGTGCCTATTTCTTATTCTGCATGTTAACCTTCCGTTGGCCAACCTCTTTCTTTCTACAATTTTTCTTCCAAGACAGTTAAGCAAAGGGACTCTTGAACCCATAACGACAAGTTTGTTTTCGCTAGGAACATACTGGCTAGAGATAAAATAAAGAATTTAAAAAAAAACAAATTTATACATAAGACATAAGAGAATAAGAGAATACATAAGAGAATTTATTTGAACAACCTGATAATACTTGGGTTGTGAATTGAGTACTCCTGACCTTATGTTTCGCAGAAATTTATGAATTCAAAAGATTTGTTGTTATATATCACCACTTGAAAATTTGATTCTACATTCTTCATCTATCCCACGATCTGTGCCCAAGCTTAAGGTATCCTATGTATAATAAAGGGAAATTAAAGAATTCTGATTCCTTTCAAAAAATATGTAATGTAAGATAACGATGGACAGGAATATTTAATGGAACAATTCAAATGAGAAGCCACTTCGACCTTTAACGCGTTTAAACCACTATCTACACTTGATGCAAAGAAGAAAATTTTCATTTTGTTAAACTCTCTTATGACTATTATATTTTTTATTAGTTAATAAAGGGAGCATTATCAATTATCTGCAAATTTCCATCACAATATTTGTTTGTAGTTTACTTTTTATGATACTGAATAATACACGCGCGAGACTTCTCAAATAGTATGGTGTATATTATTCATGAATTCTCTCTTTCACTGCGGTTAATATAGTGAGGGATAAAGAAAGAGTCTTGATAATCATTCACTGAACCCGCTCAGTATTTTTGTTAGGATTAATGTGGAGTTTTGGCGTCAAGTAAAGGTATCTTAAATTAAATTCATTCTGATTATTGGTATGATAAAAAATATTTTAATTAACATATGATTTTGATGAACCTCTTCTTTATAACGTACGCTATGTGTTGGATTACCTCTTGAAGAATAAAATACTAATTCGATTAGAATACAATAATCTCTTCAAATGATTAGTCATACAAATAAAGACGATTTTTACCTGTCTTTGTAAGGTGGGACCAGTACACACAGCTCGTGGAATTTACCTAATTTTTGTATCAATTCTGTATTTCGGAAGACAGAAGGATGGGTCGTATTCATGTTGCCCCTCAATCGCTTAATGCGAATTTTAACATATCTAATATTTTTATTTCAGCATTTCTTAGGATTCCTGATTTCGCAATAATCCAGAGGTGAAAAAAAATAGGCTAGGCTAGAATAATGTTCATTACGTACTGCTCCATGCTGACAAGGTAGGCAACAACATTGCCTTCGTTTTTAAGGCTCATTATATATTTAGTGTATTTTAGAAGAACTTGAATTTAATTCTACAAGTATCCAACTTCCAACTAATACCCATGTCCCATAAGGAAGAAATTCTTCAAAATCGTGTGTCAATTTTGAATATCTTTTACATTTCAAACATACAAAATAAATCTGAATTACCATATCTATATTGGATTCCGAAACTTCAAAAAAAATTCTTACAAACAAAGATGCATAGCGGGTTCCAATAAATGTTCAACCAAGCCTCTTTCTTTACTCCTCACTAAGATATTAGCAGTAGTGGAGAAACATCAAGAATATTTGAGAAGTGGTGTAAAGCAGATATGGATACTAAAAAAAAAAAGTAACTTTTGGACAATTTCAAATCACAAGATTTTACCAAAATCAACAGCTCTAAAGCTCACGACTTTTCAACTGTATACACAACCATTCCACATGATAAATTAAAGTCCAGGCTTTTTGTGAAATTTACTTACCTTGTCATTGGTCATTTGCAAAATTAGTTTGTTAAAAAATATTCTGATTGTACACACAAGCACTCTGAAGTTGACATCAAAAAGACATGCTAAGATGCTATAAAAGACTAGATTTTTATAGACCGGGACGAATATATATCGAAATTGATCACAATGACTATCGTTTTGCAATATTTTTATTATTTTTTTTTTGTCAAACACTTCAGAACCACATTTTTCGTTTAATAAATCTTTATATTATATTTTTGACCATAAATTTCTAAAAACATGCTATGCTTAAGAAGATTTTTCATTTATGCATGTACCTATGTATGCTAAAGTGAATAATATGTTAAACAACGGATACATCTGACATGTGGTTGCTAGATTAAATTAAATTTTACATATTGAATTTTCCATCATTGCTACCATTCAGCAGAGCTTGATAACCCATAAAACAGTGGCATGCTGAGAAACTCTGCAGCTTTGTCGGAAACTGTGTCCCAGCAGTTACAAGCCTTCATTACGTTGTTGAATGGATTGGCTGGATCCAAAACATAAAATTCATCGTCATCGCTGGAATTTAAAGGATTTTTTGTTTTAGTAAGGAAAAGAAGCATCATTATTTTTTTTTAAATTACGCTTGATTCAATTTTCAAAACACACACGATTATTTTGTAAAATTCAACGCTGAAATTTTTTAACTAATTGTTGAAATCAATACCTAATGAAATCGTCTGCCTTGTAATTAATATTCCAGGCATGTTGAATATTTTCGTAGTTTTTGATGGCTCTCAACACTTGATAAAAGCCATTTAGGAGGTCAAAACTCTCTGGACTTCCAGCGTCTTCCCATTCTCCTATTGTTATGAGTTCCAAGGGGTATGAGGATGGCAATCTTTGCTGACCTTTACTTTCCTATAAATAGAATTTAAAAATGAAGGTGAATTACACTGAAAAAAATAATTTTTAAAATTGATTTATTTCATATATCGAAATTAACTTTCGTAATACCTAGAATTTATTACCTCAAAGAATGTTTTTCTCCAGTATTTAACCAACTGTATCAGGGTTTTCACTTTTTTCGGAACACCAGCCACGAATTTTTTCTGTAAAGGAGCCAAAGCGGCTGAGTAGAATTCTCTTTCATAGGCTGATTCTTTGCTCATAGCTTTGTAAATGTCTTTATTGGCTTCTGTCAATAAAATACATATTAATTTGGACATGAAAATATTACCAGTGAGTCACTAGAATAGATGATATGGATTTGTTGCAATATGACATCTAATCATTTAAAGTGTTCCATTTGAAAATAACCAATACAATAAACATCAGGAAATTAATTATGTTTAACGTGCATTACTTTGGGTAAATTTGTGAAAATACTTTTTTGAGAGAACTTACTTCTATTTAATATATTAACACTGGGCAATATGTCTACGTTATGGGTATGATTGGCGTGACAAGAGAGCGATACTTTAACGGCATGGGAAGTGACCCCTTCCACGATACATTCACCGTAAGAACCAAGGTAAAGTTTCATCGTTTCTAAAATGTTAGGTAGAGAATCTCGCAAATCAGGGATGGATCTGAATTTCGACAGGAAAACGACAAGGTCCGCATCTGATTTTCCTTTGACAGCTGTCCCTTTTCCAAGAGATCCACTCTAAAATGAACAAAAGGAGATATAATCTTTACAATCTTTAGAAGAAAGTTACTTTCAAATTGTAATATCAATTTTAAAAAACTAAATTATGCTTACATTACATTTTTACCTTGAGTACTTGTGAAGGTCTCAGCTTTGCTGGAAAGTTGTTTTGCATGAAGTGGTAAAGACGGTTTACCACTGCTCTACAGCTAGAATTATAGGTTGTGTCGGGTTCGATTTCCTTGTTGACAAATGTCTGAAGTTGACTTGCTGACATATTACCAAGAGAACAACTTGATTTGTAAGCCCAATTGTTGCTTACTGTAGGTATCTTGTGATCATACATGTAGAACATGTTTTGTACTTCAAATTCGTTCACGCCGTGCTTCATATTATCATGCTGAGCTTTATGGGAATCCTCCATGAAGCGACGCTCGGGTCTGCATTCATCGCATACATAAGGAAACATTTCGGGATTTCGTCTCCGATAGCTAAATGAGTATGTCCTCACCATTGTTCTTGCTTTTATAATACTTATTTCAATGTATCCTATTAAGAAAATAAAATTAAGAGTACTTATTCATTACTTTTTTGTAAATTAAAAAAACTTGAAATAATATATACGAGGACTATTTAATTTATCTATGTACATGTGTATGATTTAGATCTCCATTTTAATTCAGACGATTTCTTAACCTGGCTTGTAAGGTGCAATTAATTGCCTTTTTTCTCTTTCTCCATAATACACATGTATAACAAGAGTCAAATTAAGAAGAAAATATTTATTTAAGTCCATTTTGAACTTTATCTGTGAATTAATAATCGACTTACCTCAGATCTATCCTGCTCGTCTAATAAAATTGCTGGATGATGACTTAATACAACTGCAGTGATGTGTGTTTATATTTACCAGGTAAATTTAGAAACTGGGTATCTCCGTTCCAAATTTGGAAAAAATATCAATCTAAAAATATTCTTTAGATTCGGATCTATGCATACTAGTATTCATAGTAAACTTTAAATGGTTTATTTTCAGAAATCGTTGAATACATATACATGACTGCGTATAAATATATATATATATATACACACACAGAGAGAGAGAGAGAGAGAGAGAGAGAGAGAGAGAGAGAGAGAGAGAGAGAGAGAGAGAGCAACACGAACAATTAAAACTTTTCAAATGTTCTTTCTTAAGGATAAAAAAGTCACAAAAATCAACTGAAGCACTACATCTCATAAAGAAAGTAGAAAAACAAAAATTAACTAAATCACTACTGAAGCGTGTTCAAAATTACCAAACACTATACATGTACAATGTCACATATGCTAAACTTGTATCATGTGCGGAGAAACAAAATTGATAATACATAAGAAAACCTTTCTAATATATAATGATGATAGGTACATGTATGGTATTGGGGATACTTTCATGTGCAGGCCGAGAGTTAAGGGTGGAGTGGTTGTCGTTTTCATCAAGGACAACTTATATAAGCATTGCAATAAACCGTTATTTTCGTTCAATTAAATGTTGAGCTAAATATTTATATATATATCGTAAAAGAGGTTCCCTATATTGTCCTAGTGTAAAAGTAAGCCGTCAACTGTAAAATTCACCGCTCCGTGCAAAAATGTAATATTATATTAATAAGCTTCCAAGTTGTAAAGAAAGAATTCCGATGCATCCGATCTGTCGGATGCACTCTGATGAAGTGTGATATGCATACTTGTATGGATTAATTCTCACTTATTGATTATGACCAAGTAGTAAATCGCATGGTCGTAGATAAGGAAGCGTATTAGTGTCACTTGGACACTTTATTTTTTTTTTATAAATTCTACACTTTAATCTGTAATGTTTACACTTTAAAGTGTAAAATTTACAGATAAAAATGTAAAATTTACACTTTAATCTGTAACGAGATAATTAACACTTTAATCAGTAAATTTTACACTTTAATCTGTATATTTTACACTTTAATCTTTAAAATTTACACAATTAATCTGTGAAATGTACAGTATAATCTTTAAAATTTACACTTTAATCTTTAAAATTTACACTTTAATCTGTATATTTTAAACTTTAATCTGTATATTTTACACTTTTAAGTGTATATTTTACACTTTAATCTGTAAAATTTACACTTTAATCTATAAAATTTACACTTTATTCTGAACAACCTGTAAGGTAATTTGTTTTAATCAAACGGTCGTTTCGTGATGTTATACTTATGGCATTTGAAAGATAGTATAAGACTGATATTTCACAATTGTTTGCATAATTTTTTACATGTATATGTTTGTATGATAAATAAAGATGGGCGATTAACTCATGAGCCTCGTAATTTTCCCCAGCAAAATATCAGAAATCTGATTTCAATCCAGTATATTTCTTTAGTTGTACTTTTGTGCGAGGAACAGTAATTAATATATATATCAAAGATTTTTTTTCTTACTCGCATCTCAGATTGATATTGCAAGTTTATGGGTCTACGATCATGATGATATAAAATAAAACATTAAAATTGCGGTCATTTTTGAACGTAGCAATAAAGAAACGTCATTGAATCAAAGGATATGAATTTTTTCGCTGTTCCAGAATTAATATAAACTCATATACTTTAATTATTTATATATGTAAATACTTTACTAGTTAATATAAATATTAATTGGTTATTTTAAAAATATCAATTCAAAAAGTAATTCAATTGTTGCCGGTAATACATGTAGAATGTATAAATTTACAATTAATGATTTCAATAATTGAACTGCTGAGCGCATTAAACGAATATGCGTATGATGAAATCAATATCATATTCATTGAAAGTATATGCATGTGTGTTTGATTTGCTCTTCATTAATATTTTAAGAAAGTCATGATACCTATATCAGTCATACTAATTTGCTTATTATTTGCACTTATTGTTAAAAAAAAATAATAATAGAATTTTATTCTGCATGATTCATGGTTTGTTGGCTTTAAAGTGTGTTTCTTAGGATGGATGAAGTTGCCAAATTGACCATTATGTGAATTAAACAGATAAATGTGTAAAATTTACAGATTAAACTATAAAATTTACAGATTAAAGTGTAAATTTTACAGATTGAAATGTAAAATGAACAGATCAAAGTGTAAATTTTAAAGAATACTAGTAAAGTGTAGAATTTACAGATTAAAGTGTAAAATTTACACTTAAATGTGTAAATCTTACAGATTAAAGTGTAAATTTTACAGATTAAATTGTAAAATGTTCAGATTAAATTGTAAAATATACAGATTAAAGTGTAAAATTTACAGATTAAAGTGTAAAATTTACAGATTTAAGAGTAAAAATTACAGATTAAAGTGTAGAAAGTAAAAAAATAATAATAAAGTGTCCAGGTAGCACTAGTACGCTAGGAACTAGGGGGCGCGCCATTTTTTTAGCACAACAAAAACTTTTCTGATCAAAATTTGTACGTTTTCTGTCGTCGTCGGTGTTATCCTTGTCGTCGTAATCTCGTAATCTAGCTTTTCACATTTTAATCTTCTTCGCAAAAACCATGCTAATTTCAACCAACCTTGCCACAAAGTATCCTTGGGTAAAGGTTTGTGCAAATAAAGGGAGGGCCATGCCCTCTTCCAAGTAGAGATTATTAGGAATTTGTGAGAAATTAATGGCATCTTTTAAAAATTTTCTTACCAAGATCAACGGTGCCAGAAAAGATGCAACTCATTTGGAATCATCCTCAGGAAGGTAAGATTCAAATTTGTTCATATCATGACCCCTGGAAGTAGGGTGGGTTCACAATGGACGATCAAATGTTTATATAGGAATATATAGGAAAATCTTTTAAAAATCTTCTTGACCAGAACCAATGGTCCAGGAAAATCTATGAAACTTATGTGGAATCATCCTCAGATAGAGAAGATTCAAGTGTGTTCTTATCATGACTTCCAGGGGTAGGGTGGGACCACAATGGACGATCAAATTTTGACGCGGGAATTTGAAGGAAAAATCTTTAAAAATCTTCTTCTCAAGAACCAATGAGACAGGAAAGATTAAAACTCTTGTGGAATCATCCTCTGGTAGTGTAGATTCAAGTTTTTTTTTCAAATCCTGACCTCCGGGGCTAGGGTGTGGCCACAATGTGGTATCAAAGTTTTTACATTATAATATATAGGAAAAAATATCTTTTTCTCTAGAACAGAAAAGTTATGTCTAGTCTTATTTTTTTCAAATCATGACCTGGGGGAGTAGTGAGGGGCAACGATAGAAGATCAATTTTTCACACATGTTGGAAAAATCTTTAAAAATGTAAGCTATATTGATATGGTGGTAACTTTAAGAAGTATAAAATCCATCCACACACAAATTATCTTTCCAATATTTAACTAAATTGTGTTTGTAACGTATCCCAGGTGAGGGATGTGGCCCATGGACCTCTTATTCTATTTTCGGCTTGTCAAAGTTGTCAAGGAATTTTTGACAATTTATAGTGCCCCAACTGATACCGTTTGTCTGTGCACCCCGCCCCCCTAAATTTCTGAAATTGCCTCCTACAGGACTGAATCGTTCTATCTTTTGTTATGAAAGAAAATTCTCCTGTGTCCCTTTCTATGAAAACTGATTGGAATAAATATTCTTTTATATTAAAACCTACCTGCAACTGTTTCTTTTTTCAGTATGATAATCATAGCTGTAAACCATATACACTCTTTTAAATGGTCAGTGTATGTATGTGTGTTTGTGCTTGGCAAAGCTCCAAGGTAAAATAAAATCTAAATACATTTTTAGAATCAAGAAATTATTTTCGGATTTTTATTATATTTAATGTAATATAATTAGAATTATATACATGTAAATCACCTTACCTTAAAGCTTACCTCCTTTTTTTCTAAGACTGCGAATAGAAACGTCTAAAGAAACAATATTGCAAGATGACGTAACGTTCATTTTCAGAAAACATACACGGATCAATACACGGATCAATAATATGTGTTTACATTTATTAGTTTAAATTTAGATACTGTGTGTTTCTGCACCACAGTTAAAAATGTAGATAGATAAGATGTCAACCTTGAAGGTTAAAAAGTACATTTAAAGAATACAAAACGTAAGCATAGCATTTAGTCCATGAGCCACTGGGGGGTGGTCGGTACCATTTTGGGTGAATAAACTTTATAGTGATATTTGGTAAGGAATACCCTTAACTAGTGAGAAAATGTATGATAGCATCAAATCCGTTGTGGCTTCAATTACCCTTTATTTGCTCAAATTAGGTATTTTGAGCTAAATATATTTGAAACCTGCAAAGTATTTGTCACACAGTTGCCAACCGTTATAGAAAGTTCTACCAGAATTACTCAGAGATATTATGAACATATTAAAAGAGCATTAACTGAGTTACTAGCCGTGATTCTAACAAAAATTGCATATTTTTACCTCTTTTATTCAATAATTACATGTACCTCATAAATTTGTATAACGAAAAAGATAAGTACCAACGCACGTAAACTAGTTTAGTTATTCGTCCGTCTGTGACGACGATGACCACTCTCATCTTCGTGGAGGAGGTTTCCTGCGGCCTCCCATTTTTCAATCGTTATAAGTTCAAGGAGATACGACACCGGAGGTTTCCCGTACATTTTCTTCAAAGACAAAATTTACCAAAATTATTAAAAGGACAACGGGTCTATTGAAATCTAAATATACTAAAGAATGTGGATATGGTGGCATGACCCTCCTTTAAACTTAGCCCATCATATTCATAATTTGTGGATTCCTGGATGTTTAATTCTTTCCCCTTTCCCACTCAAATCTTACTTACAAAATATTTTTTCCAATAATTTCGTTAAAAGTTTGTGTTTGTACGTTCAATATCTTCGCCAGGGTTTCTCGTCCTATACTCTTCTCGCACGAGGAGAGGAGTGAATAAAAACCCTTGGATTAAGTTCACACCACTGTCTGTTTAAAGATAATACTTATATAATCTTCA